CAGAGCATAATCATGAAGTCCGAGCGAGCTTCATGCACGCTCCACCAGCTACTCCCGCTTCTCCAGGCCTCGATAGACGATCAAATTCCGAACCAAAATTCCGATCAAAGTAGACATGCTGATGACTGGTGGTCACCATCTACCATCAAATTTTGACGGGCCGCACTTTTTTGATCAAGGTAAGATTAGAGTACCTATATTGAGAGAGTATGGCCACTGGGTCCCATGGAGAGGCTTAGGACCCAAAAATGGCGGTGCTTTGTTATGGTTTTTGAGGATGGGAAGGGGGTCATTGCCAACTTTTGACGGTTATCACCAACCGCACTTGCTGCCAACCTTACTACATCTAAGATCATTTTTCTCAAAAATTGCACACGATTAGCCTTAAAAATATGTAAAAAAGTCGCAATAGTGCATTTGGGTAAAGTTCTCGTTACGATAAGCAAAGACAACTACATTTTGAATCATTTTGCATTACATTAACTTTATGGCGTCCGCCATTTTTGGGTCCTAAGGGCTCCATTCAGCCTAAGATGGCTGAGCCAATCAGAGGTGGTAACTCCAGTGGCCATACTCTCTCTTAATATAGGTACTCTAGGTAAGATTAGACTGGAGTACCATCATTCATCATTCTCTGCTACAGGAAACATTTCTGCCAAGTTTTCATTTTAAAATGAAGCAAATTAATGAATTTCAGACTGATGACTCCCGACACTTTGATGCTACTTTGATCGGAATTGGCTCGGGAATTTGATCGTCTGTCACTATATAATATGCTAGAGTCCCTTTATTGAGAGTCAAGACAATAAGTGGATTTTTGGAGGTAATGCCGTTGTAGGTAATGTCCTGCCCCCTTCCATACCGCCATTTTGGATCGAACATGTATCGAAAAAGTGACCCGAACTCGTCGCACACCGGGTTCGGAATAGAGTCCCTTTATACTAGATACAGATTCGACTGATACTCCGGAAAGTCAGCTTGGCAACGAAATTTGGTGAGTTTTAGAGTGTTTTGTTCATTCAATTATATATAACGTTTCAATCCAAGAGAAACTTCGATTTTTTATCAGCATATGTAAAAAATCTTCAGTCATTACGTGTTCTACCTCGTAAGTCGGTTTGCGGAGCGAATGGTGCAAAATAAAGTAAGTGAAAAATAAACAAGCATAAAGTAAAATAAAATTACGAGCGGTAATCAGGAACCGATCCTCGGACCTCCCGCCTGCGAGGCGAGCGCGCTACTGTTTGGCCATGCGGTACTGATAAGGATACAGAGCCTCTATCACCTACGTTTACCTTGTGCCGCTAGCGCACGCGTTTTTCCTGAGCCATTCCAGCCCTTTTTTTGAGGGCTTTCCCGACCCCATTCGAAAAAACGAAAAAATACGGCATCCCTAAAATCATCTCTAGTATCTTCATGCGAAATTTCAACTTGAAATTCCGGTTACACTTGGGAAGCTCCCCTTGTCAGGTTTCGATTGAAGTTAGGTTAAGAGGCTCGCATAAACACATAGAGTACAATATAGTTGCAAAGTACTGGATCGCCGATGAAGTCACTTTTCGAGGCTGTTTTGTCCAGTTCTCCGGAGACTAGTGTGCGGCGACTAGCGATGACGCATACGCAGATACGCAGAGACTCGCGCTCAGCGCTCCCCACTCCCAACAGTCCCGACTCGGTTCCGTTCGTCGGCTAGACACACACTGAAGTGAACCAGCTAAAATAAGTAGGCCGGTAATAAGTCTGAAATTGAGTCCATATATGAATATTATATCGGAGTAACATACATTAATGGATTCATTATGGCTTTGAATATCTATTTCAAGCAAAATTTGCACAAATTAATACCGATGGAATTAAAAAAAGTCGAAAAAACACAAGCAGTCGTTGATTTCTCCATAAGCCACCGTGTAAAAAAATGCCGGTTGGTTCACACTTGGTATAAGTCAGAAATTAAATTCCTATATGAATTTTATCCAGGAGTAATATACATCAATGGATTCATTATGACTTTGACTATCTAACTGTAGCAAAATTTGCACAAATTAATATCGATGAAATTAAAAAATGTCGAAAAAACACGGGCAGTCGTTGCTTTTCCCGTAAGCCGCCGTGATAAGAAATGCCGGTTGGTTCACACTTGGTATAAGTCAGAAATTAAATCCCAATATGAATATTATCCAGGAGTAATATACATCAATGGATTCATTATGGCTTTGACTACCTTTAAATAGCAAAATTTGCAAAAATTAATGCTGATTGAATTATAAAATACCTAAAAACCACAAGCAGTTCTTGATTTCTCCATAAGCCGCCGTGTTACAAAATGCCGTTGGGTTCACAAATGGTTCACTATTTTCGGAGCACACGCGGCTCGGAAACGCCTGTTCATGGATTGGCTTCATCGCCGCTCCAGTACTTTGCGACTCTATTGTACTCTATGCATAAACATAGCTAATATTAATATCTTTGCAATTGGTAAAAATGTAATCTTTATTCCCGTTTGTGACACTGTGGAGGCCTAAAATACGGGAACCAATCAGAAATGGATTCAAATTGTCTTGTCTCTCAGTATAAAGGGACTCTAGTCTATGCAGGCCTTCCCGCTCCGAAGAAGAATATACGGAGGCCCTGCTCGCCTGCTCATCGTCACAGATTAGTCCAGATCGCTAACATCGGCGGAAGAGCGTGAGTAGCTTTGTGAGCGCCATTGGCGGGAAAATCCATGGGCATTTAAAACTAGGAACCAAAACTGAAATTTTGGCTATTTTCAGCAGATTTTCGGCGGGAGAATACTTCTTTTTCAGATTTTTGTGGGATGAAACGTTCCGAAGAATTCAAGAATTAGTTTCTCAGTAGAATTTATGTGGTTCAATATTTCCAGATTAAATAATTAAGGTGGAAATAAATAAAGAAGGAGAATTAATTAAAATACGAGTAAACAAGGTTAAAAATTATTGAAACACTAAAAGGTAAGACGTTTCGAGCTGCTTCCAGCTCATTTTCAGCTGCAAAAACACATAAAAACAAGTAAAAAATTGAGTGGCGACCTGACCTCAGCCGTTATCACGTAACCACTCATAATAACGGCTGGGGTCAGGTCGCCACTCAATTTTTTACTTGTTTTTATGTGTTTTTGCAGCTGAAAATGAGCTGGTAGCAGCTCGAAACGTCCTGCCTTTAGGTGTTTCAATAATTTTCAGCCTTGTTTACCCGTATTTTAATTAATTCTCCTTCTTTATTCGTATAATCGGGCTATGTTTTTGTGCTTTATCGGTGGAAATAAACAAATCAGAGTTCATCAGTATACTGAGTAGATGACATTATTGAAAAAATTTGCAGATTATAATACATCATATTTTTGAAGTTTAAAGCCTTAGAAACCGAAAATTAAAGCAAAATCCTGCCAAAATGAGACTTTTGGTTCCTAGTTTTGAATTCCCGCCAGGCCCCCATGAGAGCAGTTAATTGCTACCAACTGTTGTAAGAATATTGAAACAGAATACTTAGCATAACAGTACTTGATAAAATCTTATTTGATCAAAATCATTATTACACATTACTATTTATACTTTTTTCAAGCTTTATAATCAGATTCAATAGGAAATTTCTCTCGATCCGGTCAAGTTCTTTCACTACTGGTAGTGCCATCAATTTTCTAAAGTTGCCTAACTTGTAGCGAATTACTCACGCTTCTGAAGCATTGGCTAGATTGGATCACAGAATATATAGGCTTCACCTAAGATACCATCATCAGCAACATACCATTTCTCCGCGTAGTAGAATGACGTAACATTTGAAATTTAGTTTTGATAAGGAGAATGCTGATTCTTGTTACCTACTTGTGTTCAGAATTCAGTCAAATGTTTGTACATTTTTTTCCATTCAGAATTAAATTACTTTCCATTAAAAGCAATGCCTTTGGAGTATCATTTATTTACGCCACTCCCCTAAGTACTTCTTTTTCCAAAACATCAACTTTACTCCTTCAATTCTAAACGGCAAGTATGTACTCAGAAATATCAGATCCTGAGGAGAATTCAATAATAGTACCTACCTGTCTCTAAGGTTTCGAAGGTTTCAGATAAATCTACCTGATCTAATAGAGAGAAAATTGAGAGTAAGCTAATTTTTGGCGGAGTATTCTAACTCTCCTTATGCCATCAAGCACTGTTTGCTTCTAAAATCAGGTGACTACCGATACCCTTGAAACGTTGATGGGTGAAATGCACAAATTTAACAATTTCAGGGCTTTTTTAGTTTCCTTTGGTACCTTCTACTTTGATTTTGGTAAAATGAGCATCAGTGTTCATTCAAACTTGTTATGAATAGTCATGAAGATTAAACATAGTGCTTTGTAACAACGTCCAAGTAACAATTTTCGAGTTAAAAAGATAATTGAAGATAGGAAATATGAAAGAATTTGAAATCTGGTACACAATCATTTCACAATCAGCCCATATTAATGAACACACGTTGAATCTTTTTCATGGATTAATTTTAATGAGAGTAAAATCAATTGATTCATTAAAATTATTATCGTTGCGTATAATTAAACTCGACAAAACTCGATTCGATTTCCCATTTGAGAAGCGTCAATTCAAATAAACCGCCGTTCACTTTATTGTAATTGTTGGCAATCTTGCACTCATTTGACAACAATGCAGACAGCCGGAAAGTACAAACAGTGATACATTGGAGTTTACGGGAGTGAACCTTCTGTTATTGGATGCTAGCGATCTGGACTAATCTGTGCTCATCGTAGGGGGTCTTTGCCTGCAAAAAACGCTCAATCTAATCCGTCTTGCCATGCCGCCTATTCCTTGGTCCATTCCATTTTATAATCTTTGCAATGGGTAAAAATGTAATCTTTATTCCTATCTGACAGTGTGGACTACCTGTGGGGACCAATCAGTGCTCAAGTATAAAGGAACTCAAGTAACCTGTATCAGCATATCATCCTCCCAACCAATAAAAAAGTGGCACATTGATGGTCCTACTCTTCGTACATTCTGTTCTACATCTTCTGTTCGTCTGTTTTCTTGAAGTGACTGAAGTAAAATGTCGGCCGTAACATCTCTGAAAGTTTGATGCATTGTTCTAGATACATTTTCTCATAATTCTTATTAAGTGATTTTATTAACATGGCTAGAAACTCTGTATCGTTGAAAAACGATTTCGTGGTTGGAGGAAAATATCGTTTGATACGAAAAATTGGTAGTGGTTCGTTTGGTGAAATCTACCTCGGAATAAATATCACGAACGGAGAGGTACTGTAATTATTACTCTTTTCTAAAATGTTGTTGGAGAGTTTTAGCGTCTCTTTCTACTAATTTTCAAATTGTTCGTTTTATGAGGCGTGATCGGATCGACGATCTCATTTTAGGCTCGGGTGTATCTCTAACAGTTACATCTGTTCCTTCCTCATTTCGTTCTGCTCATTTGCTCACTCAACAATTGTCAGCTTCATGACATTCCACTGCCTCTCTCATCCTGCCTTCTTTTCCTTGGACCATGAGAAATTTCTGTTGTCTTTAGCCAATCTAATTCCAGTATTGTCCAACTGGCTGTAATCCATAGTGGCTGAGAGGGATGTTTGAAATCACTGGTTTCAAACATCTTTGATCACACCTCTTGCAATCAGAGGTTGTTCTTTGCATCAAATAGCCTAAAAATTCATTGTTGGGGCTTCGAGCAGTGATGTTACAGTTTTGCTGCGCATTTCATTCAGCAACTGCTGTAAGTGAAGCTGATGCTCAGTTACGGAGCAATCCAAGGATCTTTCAAGCTTGCTGGATGGATGGATTCTCAGCCATGTTACTTATTGTTTACATTTTCTTACTGAGTGGATTTGAATCTCTTATATCCTTTTTAGGATTGGTAGGTGCGTTCTTCAACCAATCTCTTTAGGATTGTCTGGAAACTAAATTATCCAATGTCAAACATTCAATATAATTAAATTCCGTTTGAATCACCTGATGACTTGGGTGTTTACACCTAAGTGACCAATGTTTCTACTAAACATTGAATGATCTTGAGAGGATGATGTGACCATTAAGTTGTATTAAGTTAGTAGAAGAACCAAACGATATTGGATAAGTTTGGCCTAACACTGCTCCTCAATTGATTATTTTAAGCCGAACTTCCTGAGTCTTGGCCTGATTAAAAATGGACCTATAAGGACACTTTTAGGAACATGCATGTTTGCAGTACAGGTAGTTGAGGGTTTCCTCACCTATTTTGCAATTAAAGGATCCGGTGGTGTCAGTGGCTGTTTGAAATGGGGGGGGGGTGACTTTTGATGGGCGGTTAGCGTAAATCTGCCAAAGTGTTACCTGTTTTCCCTCAGTGACATTCTCCTTCACACCCCCCCTTCTTCTTTTCTCCCTTATCTTCATACGCGGTTCTAGACCTTCATGCTTGGGGGTGCCCAGAGGTAGAAAATGTCGGAGACCGGCCCCGAAGGGGACGATAAAGGGAGGGAGGCCTAAATTTCGGCCCTCAAGTTTTATCCCTTTCCTACCCTCCTTTCTCTTTTTCTCTCCTTCCTTTTCTACTTAAATACCTATAAATTCAATGTAGAAAATTTTTAGCAAAACTTTCCATCAAAACTACAATCTTACCATACAAAAACAGTAGAAGCTTTGTAAAACACGGCTATCAATATTAATTCTGTTTGAAACATTTTCAATGAATTGCTGGGATTTTTCCTCAGTGTGAGCGAATACAGAATCTTTAAGAGCACGAATTTCACGGTTCTGATAACCGTGCTTAATTTTTGCTTGGGGGTGCCCGGCACCCACTGGCACCCCCGTAGAACCGCCTATGCTTATCTTTCATCCCCTCCCACACATATCTCCTCCCCTTGTCTGTCTGTAAAAAAAGTTTCATTTAGGTACTTTTTACAAAACAATGATATATTTACATGAGAACTCTAAGCAAATTTCTACAGTGGAAAAGGAGACAGAATTGCTGATTTTACCCTTAAATTGCCTTTAGAGAGCATCCAAGTAATACCATCATTTTTAGAGGGAGGTCCCCCGCCCCCCCACCCCTCACACCCCCTGGGACTCCGCTGCTGTTTTGAGGGGGGGGGGGAGCTCGTCATGTACGTAGGGGGGGTGGGAGAGGATTAGGGTATGTCAATAAAAATGAAAGTTTGTAATGTTCTGCACCCCAGGCGGCAATTGATGCTACTTGGTAATAAAACATTCGAACAAATTTTAGCTTCTTTCAACGATTTTAATGGTGCCTAAGATCAATTTTGTGATGAAATTCTGATTTTTAAGTTTAGACCTCGATTTCGCACCAAGAGCTCGATTTTACACTGAAATTGTGCCTTTACGAGAAAAATGCATAAGAACTCGAGTTGCAGAGGATAAAGTTCCACCGCAGAAAATCATCTTTGTAAACAAAAAAAAAATCAAATTAAACTAGAAAAACTCACCTTGGTATTTATTTCCTTTGGTGCTAAGAATTTCTGAGGCTGCAGAAAGTACCGGTATAAAAGACTAATTTTTCATGAAAATAAGTCAGAAAAGGTATCCATGAGGTGTAGATTAGTGTTGAAGATACAAATGTCATCAAAACTTTCTCAGTTTGAAAAAAAAGGTCCCATTTTGCACAATCCTCCAAAAAGTGTACGGCTTGAAAAGCAGGATTGTGTAATAGTAAGGAAGAAGTACGGTTTGACCTGGAAAAAATTGTGTAACAAACTTTCCCTGTGTAAACGTCATCAGTAGGTCCTCCTTAACAACTTCCTTGGAGTTAAACATGGTCCCCCCCCCCCCCCCCCCCCCCCNACACTCCTCAAAGTACCTAGATTCAACAAGTTGGTCGTTACAAGCTCATGAATGACATTTCTAATGCTCATTCTGGGCATTGGATGCTGTTCTCCCAGTAAAGTGTAAAGTCTCCGAATATATACTTTACTGTGTATACTTTACTTGTATTTTGTATGTCCGAAATTCTGACCACCAAAGAAAATAAATACTGAGGTAAGTTTTTTTAGTTTAATTTGATTTTTTTTGTTTACAAAGCTAATTTTCTACAGTGAAATTTTATCCTCTTCAACTTGAGATCTTACGCATTTTTCTTATACAGGCACGATTTCAGCGTAAAATCCAGTTTTTGGGACGGAATTGAGGTTTAAACTTAAAAATCAGAATTTCATCACAAAATCGATCCTAGGCACCATTTAAAACCGTTGAAATTAGCCCTAATTTTGCCTAAAATATTTTATTACCTAGTGGCATTGATTGGCTCCTGGGAACATTTCAAACTTTCATTTTTTTGACACAACCTAGGGGGGGATGACACCACTGAAGGGATCAATGAGCTGCCTGATATAGCAGTGCAAAGATATGTGTTAGTGAGTCTTAACAGGGCCCAACCGTTAATTAGTTGTTTTCTTCTTTTGTCAAAACAGGATGAACATTTGAATAATATCTTCATTTAATTGATAACTTCATTCTAAGATGATTTTTGAATGTTCAAATTAGAATAAGGTACAATTGGAAACAGAGCGGTGTAGAATGATGTCATGTAAAGAAGGAATTTTTAAGTTACAAAAGAAAACGCTCAGAATTATTTTTGTCTAAAAAACGACTCATGCCATGAAATTTTCAAAAACAAAAAACTGCTAACATTCCCAATCTATGATATCAATGATAATTTTGAAAAGAGCAATGTATGTATGCCAAAATGCAAACCAAATAAAAAAGCCGTCTTACGGGCATAGTATTTACACCAAAAATAAAAAAAACCGGCGCTCCGCTTCGCTCCGCGCCGGTTCTCTCCTCTTTTGCCGCACACCCCCCGCCTATAACTTTCAAAGCTCGCCATTTTTAAACAGCTCAACCGATTTCGATCAAATTCAATACCAGCCTAGAACTAAGTAAGATCTTCCTTTTGTAAAAATTTCGGGAGGAAAGCTTTTAATTTGCGCGAGTTATCGCGCCCACAAAATTGAACCTCCCCCCCACTTCTCGCCCCCGCCATTCGAAATGTAATACTTCGATCTCCGTTTTTTTTTTCGCAGAATGGTAGTCCTGTTACTCTACTTTACATTGCTAAAAGTTTCACCCGGAATTTTTTTAAAATGAGGGAAATATAACCAAGCAACAATCGGAAAAACCACGATGAGTCGGAAATACTTACACAAATAAACAGATATATAATATATATGAACATGAATTCAAACGGCATGCATATTCGTAATCTACGACCCATAATAGATGCTCATTACATGGTCTTTGGTCCAGGTCTGACATTAGGGGAGAAAGCAATAGTGTATCCTTTGAAAATACACTAAAAATACACCAATAAGTTTCTATTGCCAACAGACAACGCCTTCGTAATGCAATGTTTAAAATGTTTCAATGCTCTGTCATCTGCTGTAATAGTATTACTGATGTCAAGATTTTCTCTAGGAAAATAAAAAAATTTTATAATAGAGAAGACATGTTACTCAATGAGCTTACCAGCTAGTGATTTGTTGATTAGTGAATCTGCTGTATCTCTCATAATTTGTTTATTTATTTGTTCACTATTGATGCAATTGTTTGCCTATTTGAGCATGTTTGACAAATAAGGATTATTATTATGTCTTTAACGTACACAGCCCAAGGCCAAACCGGTACAAATCAGGTACACCTTATTGTGGGCCTAAAAAATAGGCCTTGGCATTAAGGGGTGGAGGAAGGGGAAGAACGCTTAATGAGGAGAGAGAGGGGTGGTAAGTCTAAGATATGTACACGTCCCACATATTTACACGCCACTGAGTGGTAGCAGTGGGAGAATAATAACCCAGGTGGTTGGAGGCGGTGCTCCTATCACTGGTGAGTTACTAGGTACGTAAAAAAAAAAAAAAAAATTAATAAATAAATAAATTAATTAATGAGTCAATAAAACTACTAATACTACTAATGCTAACTTTCTTTTGGTTTACACTGTTTCGAACTTACTGAATGAGCTCAACGATAATTGTATGATACAAACTACGATAATGTATGATCTATAACTATAAAAAATAACAATATACACTTTGCACTTAAGTCAGCACTTTTCTGAGGATTGCCGCTGTGCCCAATACTGCGGTTTTTTGGATGCTTGCAATGGATGTCCTGCCAGGTATTTCCTTTATGAAGCCCATGGATTATTCCCATTGTCCCATGTTCGCTATGGCATCATCCTCTGGGGCAGAAGTAGTGATGCAGAGTCTGTATTCATGGAACAAAAGAAAGTGATTCGTATTATGTTTAATAAACCT